CGCGACCCTCTCGTTCACCGGGGTGAACTCCAACACACGGTGGCTGAGCTGTGGGGCAATGAGCAGGCCCACACCAGCCCGCCGCCGCTCCCCGCAGCCAACGCCAGAGAAATGGAGAGTCCAGCCCCTCTCAAGGAGTTGGGTTCCAGAGCCCAAACTGTGCGTGGAGGTCAGTAACACTCAACCTCCCTCACAAGCTCAGGCTCCTTCCCCCCCCCAGCGAGGTGACATTCCATGTCCCCAGAGCTAGTCTCCATGTCCGGAGATCCGGTCGTCAAGGCCCCCGCCGTCGACTGCCGCCCAGATCTCTCTGCACCGGCCCCATATGGCTCCTCCCACGGGTGGTGGGCCCACGTGAGGACGGCCCCACGTCGCTCCTTCGGGCTAAGCCCGGCCGGGCCCCGTGGGGGAAGGCTCGGCCACCAGGCGCTCGCTGACGAGCACCCACCCCAGGCCTGGCTCCAGGGTGAGGCCCCGGTGACGCCAATCCGGGCGACGTAACTGGCCTCTGTGTTGCACTCATCATAAGGGGCTTCTGAACCGTTCTTCGTCTGACCCGTCCCCCCGGACCTGTTTGCCTTGGGTGACCCTACCAGGGGCATGAAGCCCCCGACAACATAGCTCCCGGGATCATTCGGGCACTCAAACCCCTCCACCACGATAAGGTGACGGTTCAAGGAGGGGGGGGGTTTATTCTTAATATTTAAAATTTCTGATTAGCTTCTTTTTATTTAGCACTTGACGCAGTTTGACTTCAGCTACTCCCGGTGTGTAGTGCATGAAGTCAGCACAAAAGAGAAGTGTAACTGTGATTGTCCAGGCACCTGCAAATGAGCTAGTCTAGTTGGTCACTAAAGATCCATCTTAGAAAATCAATGTTGAGGAATCGCTCTGTGTAGGCTGGAATATGGTTCTTTATATAGCTATTTTCTGATTAAAAATGTGAATAAATAGAGTGTTGTGCCACCCTGTCCATCACATTTCTTTAATAAACTCAGGGCATTAGGCTGGGAGAGGAGGGCAATGTGTAATTTGATTAGTATGATCTTATTAGTCGCATCTTAAAGAGATGAAGGCGTGTCCTTGGTCTGAGGTGCTACCAATTTGCAGTGCTGTTTTAATAGCTCCATAAACAGATAAATATTGATCCCTAAATGCCACTACACAAATATGAATAGTGCCGCCCTTCACCAGTCCTGTGGGTGTTCCTGCTGATGAAAGATGTCTCTGGTAAGAAGGAAAAAAAAAAGGATGTGTCTAAAAAGGTGAAAATTGATTTACTCTAGAGAATAGATTGTTTTCTGTACAGTTTATCCCATATTAAAGATATGCCAACACAAAGCCAAAACATATAACAACATAAAACAAATACCAATATAATCTCAACAATTTTTTTTTAATGAGCAATAAGACACAAAATAATAACTGTTTATGAATGCGGTTGCTTTGAAATGATGGTGCATACTTGTTCAGTTGAAGAAGAAAACATTCTTAACTGTACAACTAGCAGCTCGAATTTGTTTAAAACATGAACAAAGATTGTTCCAACAAGGAAAAGATGGTGAGGCATAAACAAAGACCAAGGTTACTTTGCTTTGAAATCTTTGAAAAGTATTTTTTAAGTATTCCTTTAAAATGCCTTTAGTCACATGTCTACACATATTATAAAAAACATAAATGCTAGAAGAATAGATTTTTAAGCTGCCAATGATGTTACAAGTATTTCATTCTTGTGTGTTGCTCAAAGGAATTGCCGTCTCTTCCGTTACCAGTGTCTAGGAGCTAAAAGCTCTTTACCCAACCAAACAGACAAAGTATTGAGGGTGAATGGCTAATGAACAGCGGTCCTTGATAGCGTCTGAACAAATGCCCCTGCTGGGTTTGTTAATGAGTTTAACTTGAGTGCTCAGCCGTTTTCCTGCATCTTGCACATATTAATTTCATGTAAATGGGTTTATGCCATGGAGACCACTGTGGATAGGGATACAACATGCACAGTGCACACTACAGCAACATCATACAGACAAAACTGGGGCATGTTTATAAGCTGTCTATAGGAGCAGTTTCCATATGGTGGGTCATTAATGTAGTTGGCAACTTACAGTGAATATACATAGTTAGAATTCTTAGATTCACAACCATTCATTCTGCTAGTCATTATTATAATTTTAGAATGATTCTTCCTTATCATGGGTCATATAGCTTCTCATTAATTAATACAAGTTTCCAGTATATAAAAAGAAAGAGAAAAGGATCCTGGACACTGTCAGACCACAAGAGAACAAAGACAAAAAAAAATAAATGGCATTTGAATTGAAAGTGCAATTTCAATTACTACAATTAGAAAATCGCAAACATTGCAATTTCCTGAATAAACAACAAAATATTGTAAGTAACACCGTATTTGAGACCTCTACAGACATATTCGGAAATGCATGGGATTCTTGTGATACTGGATAGATCTGAATCCTACAAATGAAACATATTTTTGAAATCTATACCACATATCTTGAGAGAAAATTTTAAACTATCATCATGTTGTCATGTTAGAATGTTGTTATCTCCTCAAAAACCTACAGTTATGTGCTGTTTCATTCACATATGTTTGAGTACATCCTTATTATTAGTTGGTTGTCATCTCCAAACATCAAAATGTTCTGTTCCACCTTGTGACGCCACAAAGCAGTAGCTTTCAAGTTAACAGCTTTAACCTTTTGTATGGTGGAGATTGGAAATCCCAATGCTCAAATTATCTTAATGATTCTAATGAAGATTTAAAAACACAGTGAGGCACTTCCTACATTGCAACATGACATCACAAGGTGGAACAGTGTGTTTTCCGTTTAAGAGAAGAAATCAGCCTAGGTTTGAAGGATTTGTGTGTTAAACATGTGAATGAAACAAAACACAACTCTATATTATATCTAAATTTTTGATAAGAAAACAAAAACATTACAACAGATTAGAAAACAGTGTAATATGGGGCCTTTAAGCCTTAAGACATCTTGTAACTACACAAATAATCTTACACTCATTATTTCCTTCACGCAAAGACAGAAGAAGTAAGGAATGGCGCTAAATACTTGCCAAGAGTGAACTATTGTTTATGTAGACTTGATGCGGAAAATCTTTGTTACTCCATCGTATTCTACACCAACTAACACCGTGTAAAGTTTAATATCCTCATTTATAGACCTGTGCATCCTTTAGTGTTCGAGTAATTATCACCAACTTCTCCTATAACCCTACTCATTCAAATCAATAGATCCTTTACTTGCACCGCTGTGTGTCTATCTCTCTTGTAAAGCCTGTAAGCTGTGGACTGGCCTTGGGTCCAGAGCTAAAGATCGATAGCTCAGCCTCAGTGTAGCGCTATAGGCTCTTGATTGGTTTGCTTTACGGGTTTAGGGGGATGAGGGCTGCAAGCGAATAGAGCCATGTTGCTAAATATTACAGGGGTAGGCAGAGATAAAGACTATAAGCCCCACAGTGCAGCTATAGCCCAGGAGGGGGTGTGACCCATGGTGTCAGCACACCATGGGTTAATAGGACACACAGTTATATAGGTGGGAGGCAGCACATCACAGCAGAGCACACAGCATCAGCAGCTATAGGGAAAAACAGTGTAAATGCCATTGATTGTGAGGCAGCAACCATTAGTGTTTGAACCTGAGCATAAAACTACAGATAATGGAGTGAGTAATTAGCAGTTGTTTTAATAAAGGTCAGATTACTGGAGGGTGTAATTTAACATACTGAAATGGATTGCATTCTAATCAGTATTTACAACATAACTCAAAACAAAGGTCAGAGGGACAAACAGAAACTTACAAAACACTGTAGCCTACTATTACTTCTTTTCTATCACCCCCTACTGCACAAATACCAATACAACTGCTGACATCAAATGTGAAGTACTACTACTGCTGTCACAGAAAAATGAAAATATCAACAGTTACACTTTGTAAAAAAAAAAAACTGTATAGCGGGAAAAAAACAGTTTGTAGTATTACAAAAGTTCGTTAAAGTGGAAGTAAGCACTAAATAAAAAAATCTTGCTAAACCATGTTTCTGAAAACCAGCTTTGTGGTCAAAACCATATAAAACTCAAGTGTATACTACTGTCTCCAGCGGCCCCTGCGATTTCAAATATTACTGCATGTGACATCATGTATTACTCCCTTAAATACAACCCTTGTGAATCAGGATCCTCACTCTCTCCTTTAGTGCTCCTGCCAAAGCTTAGCAGCTCTATTTGAAATAAATATATAAATATAAGATACATAACATATCCAAACCAGGGGTGCCATTTGTATGAATAACACTCCATCAGTTTCTAGGTTCAGTGGGCAAGTTCGGTTTTGCTTTTTTGAAGATATAAAATGCTGTACTGAGCATCACATTACACATTACTCACACTGGCTAATTATGAGACTACACATATGTTATGCAGTATGCACACAACTATTTCAATAGCTATTCATTGCTTTTTGAAACAGAATAGTAAAGATGGCAAAGAGGACCTGCTGTTTTACATCTGTCTCCAAACACCTTCAGAAAATGTATGCCTATAGCAGAGTTAACCACAGGACTAATGAGCACCTCTATTTATACTACTACAAAAAATCACTCTAAGAGACATTACTAATGAGCAATTAATATTCTGTAGTCCATGTCAATATCTGTAGACTCCTCTGCATGTTACTCCATTCAAGTGAGAAAAAAAAACATCCAATTAATTTAGTTTACGTCCTCAACATGAACAGATATGGAAGAGGAGAAGTCTTAAACTTACAATGTAGCACAATACTTACTTTTTAATACATATTCTAATTGTACTAATTGTAATCTAAAGTTACGGTTTGTGTAAATGGTTGGTTATTATGACATTGCACTTAGGGCATTGGACATTTAAAGCCGAAATGTTCAAGCTGCCCTGACTTTCGGCAAACTGTATGTCTTAACCCCTGTGTTGATGCAGACAAATACAACACACTTACCCCCTTCTAAATGCTCTCCAGCAGGATTAATGGAGCAGCCTTGGACCCTCTGCTGGACTTTGCTCACTGGCCCGAGGATTCATTTTTGCAGCTTAGCATCAAGACGTGTTGATCGATTTCAGATGCCAATGTTGTCAAGGGCCAAGCTTCGGAGCGGCCTGGCAAATACAAGCGTCTGGACATGTTTATTGATGACAAATGAGCAATGACCCAGAAAGAGAAGGGCAAGTCTGTTGATATTACAAACAGTGCTATGAATAAAGATAGGTGATTTTAGATGGACAGGTCAGTTCTCTGCTATTTCAGAAATTAAGGATATTTCATGGAATACTTATGTTGATCCATTCTGTTAACTATTTCATCAGATTGTGTTAATAATGTGTTGTGTTATTAAGTAAATACATGGCACAGGCACACTGTGAAATATTATAATTATTTAACGGTAATTGCAGTTTAATAGGACCTTATGATCTGTGTGATATTATATTGTAATTTAAAATAAAGTAAAGCAGGACAAAGATAATGTATCCATTACCAGTACAGTAGTTATGGTTTGAATCTTTCATTATGAATAAAGAAAATAATACATAAAAATAACTCTCCTAGCCATATCTAACATTTTTGACTAGAATCAAAGTTGAATGGGGGCAATTCTAGCCTTCTACAATAATGATAATATCACCTCCAAGTTGTGTATTCACTTGGAGAAAAACATATTATTCTGGTTCTCTAAATACTTTGCACGTGTGACAAGAAAAATATTGCTTCTCTCAAAATTGCTTATGTCTTCATTAAACTGTCTTTTCATTGCTATTATTGCAAGACATCATAAAAAGTAAATATTACTGTTACAGGCTCTGTGTGTACAGCTATAGGGCATACCAATTATTTTTTTGCATGTATTCTTATATTCACAGTGAAGGTGTGAATCTACAACTGAAATAATTGTTTTCCCAAAGCTGCAGAGACCTAATTTAAAAAGCAATCCATACTGAGTCCATCTGTGTTGAGCTTGCCATTTCCACATTTTACTGAGGCAAGTAATATTTCACACATTATTCTCCATGTGGCCAGTCTTTCAGAGGATACTCACAGTGCAGCGAGGAGGGTGTTAATGGTTGTCTCACACACTGTACCCTAGCTGGGGCATAGAGGCCTAAAAGGAGAAAGACAATGCGTTCAGACAGCCAAAAAGGTCACTGCTCCAGGGAAAATGTCTGGACACATTTCTCCTCAAGTGCATCAAAATATGTTCAGAAAACACCACCAACCTATTCAGGTAGGCCTTAGTTGTTTTTTTTTCACGATGTAGACAGAACCCACTACAGCAACTGCATCTTCTCGTTTACACTATATTATTAATAGATCCATGACTATATTCCACAAATGGGTGAGTGAAATTACTTCAAATCGGTCCCCGCCTAATTTTGTCATGCTGTCTTGTGGCGGCACTTCCGGTTAAACGCAGATCCCATTCATTTCAGTGGAGAATTTGGGAAAAGTTTTGCAGCTAGAATGATATTAAGTACGTTCATTTGTGTAAAATGTTCAATTTTATGTGCACCAATAAGTCAACATTTAACTTGTGGGTACTTTAAAACGGCTTTATAGTCCGTATTGAATGTATTTACTGTCAAAATCGTAAGTTCCGTGCAAAATAATACACCCCGAATAATGGCGGCGTAACTTCCGGGTTAAAGTGGCCAGTTGCGTTGTCAATTTACCTATTGAAATACTCTTCTCCTGCATGTAAATAGGCCTATATTAATCTATCGGAAATATCAGATAGAAGTATTCATAAATAGTATTTTAGTGAAAGCATTTTGGTTCCCAGGAAGTTGTTGCATTGGAAGCGAAGTTTTATGGTTTTGGCTTACTGGCTAAAGTGAAGCTATGATAATCCATGGATTCATGAAGAAATGTATCTAAAATTAACCGAGCTTTCCAGGATTCCTCAAATTAGCTTTCTGGAGATGCTAATCGTCGATGCCAATACTCTTTTCCAGGAAAACGCCAATTAATGATGTATTTCTAATCTACATTATGTCAGCCTATCACGTGGGAAACTTTAGCCTGTGTGCGTAAACCACAGTATTCAGGGCAATATGGTTAAACACATTTTTATTTTTGACATCTTTGTATATGTCTTACCACCACTCTTACCAAATCAAAATCAGTTATGCTGACGATCTGTGGTGTCGCTGCTGCAAACGCAGAGTTCGGAGATGCGAAGGCAGCTCTGGCAGGACCCAAGGACAGCACACCTGACACTGACAGGTGAAGACAGCGGGACAACACAATAGACCCTTCACAGCCACCCACCCAGAGGAAAGGTAGGAAAGAAAAAAACAACAACTTTTGAAGCAGAGTTGGCTATGAATGTTCTTTAAATTATTCACTTTTGTTGGGCGGTAAATGGATATTCAAAAACGTATTATGTGAGTAGCATAGTAATAATATAAAACAACATTTTGATCTTATCTTTCTTTCAAACGCCTCATGTACAATCCTACTTGTATTAATAGATTCATAGTTAGCCCATAGTAACTCATAGTTATTTTAATAGATCCACGATACAATCATACACCCGAGCCTGACACGCCGTACAGTACCAGGCTCCTTGAACCTTCGGGGGACCGTGACCACGAGGTTAAGACTGACTGGTGCACCCACAGAATAGCCATGGACCTCCAGCCGACAAAGTGAGCGGGGGCTCTGCGCGCAATATGTGTGGTTGGTCCGACTTCTCTTTTGTACAACTAGAAGATCGTGGGATCGATTCCCGGGCTCAACGAAATTAGTTAGCAGGTGCACGAGTCTTATTGTCCCAGTGATAACATGAAACGTTAATGTTAATGTTATCTGACTATCAAACTTTTGATATTTTATTTGAAATTACACATATATAATCCCAAACTAGGTTTCACAGACATCAGTATTTATGTAAATATGTTAGTTTTTGATAGTGGCATACAGTTACCTTTATTTTATTTCAAGGGTTAGGATAGTGTAAGAGAGTAATTGTTTTTAGCCTAAAATGGGTGACTGATTGTTAGTTCCAGTTAGCATTTGAAAGTGATACAATAAAAATAAATCTTCATATTCCAATGCAATAGTAATCATAATCACCCTACCAGAAAACTACTGTATGTTCTCAATCACACTGCAGATCAAATCAGATTTTGTCCCCCAAATCTGATCTTTTAAATGTAACTCAGGCTTCTCCCATATACCATATACTAGTATATCAAAATACAAATTAGATTTGATCACTTGCAAAGTGAAGTTGCTTTGTATAAGATGCTTTGTGAATTCTCAAGGCCGTATTCGCTTTCCATCTCACAATGTTATTATCAGTCACAGAAAAAGGCAAGAGCAAAACACAGAAAAGAGGGTAAGCAACATGATAGATTGACTGTAGACTTCGGTAATTACTTTCAATTCATTTGTGTTTGAATACAATGACAACAAAACAATGCCTCATCAAGGAAGCAGCACTTAGGCAGAAATGACTGAAAGCTGCATGCTATCCTTTGTGACAGCAGAAGTAGTACAGTTGGTGAACCATAATATTGATTGTGTATACTGCATAGGGTTTAAAGTCCTCCCACCTCTGCTGTCCAGTCTTAAGCCTGCCAGTATAGAACACCCTAGATGAATGAAAACAATAGGGTAGTGTGTGATAGGGGAGGGTGACCCAGTGACGGAGATGAAGGTTCAGGTTATGAAAAGGTGGCTGAAAATCTTGTTACACCTGACTAACTCAGGCACACCATTCAGGACCTCACGCATGGCTGAGCAATGCACCATGGGAGTCCAAAGGAGCCAACGGGGAGGCTAGCTTTTCCAAGGACACGACACTGCACTAGACAAGGTTTCACAGTCTGCAGCTATTTCTTTACAGCTACATTTTGAGCAAAGTGTGCCGTATCCTTAGATTTCCCCTTTACCTCACTTTTGTCTGGTTGAATGTCTTTGTATTGCATCATCAGAAACCTTCGAAGACAGCAGCTAGACTGTTTTGTGGAAGTTTATATTCTTTGGATAGTAATTTGGCATGCGTAATATGGCAAACTAAATTATAATTGAAATTTCAACTCAGTGTAAAATCTAAAATCATGTTTTAAAATGTTAGTGTCTCGGCTGAACTAGAGTCATCAAACTGAATTCCTGTGCCATGCTCTAAAAGCCTTTAGACTTTTCACATAATGCTATTTCCATTCAGCTGTTGCAAACCATTTCTTCTCTTCTTGAAAACCCATGTAGAGGGATTTTCAATTTGCTCTTTCCATTCCACACCTCTGTCAGAATAGCCAATAGGGCACATTTTCTGCCTACTGAATAGAATATCCTAGTCCCCACTGCAGTCTAAATGCTCATTGACCTGCTGTCTCTTATATCCACTTAACCATGTTCCCTTTGCTTTTTATTCACTAAAATATCAGTCAGATGTTTTCATGTAGCCTGACCTGTCACAATAACAAATGTTGTAGTATCATAGACTGCTAACTAAAACTAAAGCTAAAACAAACAAAAAAACAAAAAAACTTAAGGATTTCCCCCAAAAAACTATTCTGTCTGATCAGTATTGTTAATGAACTTGAGCTGCAATAAATAAATTAAACACTTAATCGTGGAAGTTTATTCAAGCTTGTACTGCTCAAACCTTATCATAGTACAGAAAAATAACACAGATGCCCACTGGTACAAAGACAAAGTACCTGCCACCATAAATATTGACCCTCAAAAATAATTGTTCAGTTTATCATGTATTGAACAATATGTCAATACAAGTAATTATTTTGGCATGGTTTACATGTAGCTTTTCTAAAAATATGTTTTTTGTGTGAAAATGTTTGTCCTCCTGTCATTCTTGCACTGCGTACTGCTTGTCTCCATGAAGATTGTTCCTGTACTGTTGCAGACTATGGCATTATATTTAACTATGTCTTTTTAACAACTCAGCCAAGTCGCAGGTCAGATTGGTGGAGAATACGTTTTGTTTTGTTATGGGTTTTTTTGTCTTTTGTGTATTTTTGAGCATCTGAACTGAAATAAAAGCTGGATAGATACGCCCAATGCTGTACTGTGGAACATTCCAAAAAAAAACAAAAAACGACTCCATAGAGACAAGCAGCTGACCCGAAAAGTTACACCATGCACCCTTAGCAATCATTAGCCCTGCGTTTGACCTGTCTCTTTGCCTCCCTGCTTACGTCCCCCTGCCTGCTTTAACATTGATCTCTTTGTAGCCAAATCCCTAGGAGCTCCACAGTCTACAGCCTAGTCCTCCCATGGCTGCTTCCTGATCCTTTGTTGACCTCCAGACTGCACATTCCTTAAGTGGGGCTTATTTGATACTGGTTCTTCTCAACCCACCGAATCAGCTCACCCATTTGGCATTTTAAACAGCTCAGTGACTCTCTATGTGAGTGTGTGTGGGGTGCAGTTTGAGTTCAATACGGAAATATCAATAGCAACCAGTAGGCTTTCAGTTAAAACTGACCTTTGAAATGGCACCATAGTTCGATAGTTTTAAGCCTAAGATTACAGTCAATAGCGTTTTCAAGAATGTATAAATTTTCTGTTCAACAACTCTCACTAGTTCTGTGGATGGGTGGAAACACACTGTCGTCTGTGGTTTTGCAAGAAAACAAAACAATATAGTGTTTTATTTATATAAGTTATGTCAGAGCAACACTGCAAAACTGCTAAAAGAAAATGCAGACTTTAACTAAAACTAAGCAAAATGTTCAACCTGTTATACATGAGCAGGCTTAACTTGCATTCGTGATTTTTCTATACCAAAATGTAATGTTTATTTCTTTCTGTTTGTGTTACAGAGCCATGAAGAACTCCATTATAAATAGTCAACATTCTATTACGTATTTCACTAACCATATGGATCAAAGTCTTTCATGAATATGTTGAAATAACGCTCACAATACAAGGACTCAACATCATATTTTTTCCATTTTATATGATTATAGGCTGCAGTTCTACCAGACCATAATCCTTGCTTTTTTTGCTGTGGAAAAATCATAGTTTCTCAGTCTTTAAGAAAGACTGTAATATTCAGTCTTTGAAATGCAGATCAGTTTTATGCTTTTAGACTGGTACCTGCCATACCGTTTTGGGAAATGTATTATTACAGCACGTCTTAAATCTAGGGTTTTCAGGAGCTAATCCCTTCACATTTCCATCAGTGGAATTCTCATCTGGGACTGCTCTGAGTAAGGTTAAGGTACATTTTAGGGAATAGTGCCAGGGAATTTTCCTCTATGTCATTAGCAAGGTTTATGGTCAGGAGTACCTAGCTGGAGGATTAGTCTATTGCACTAGTTCTACATATACTTGAGTATCCTTTTTTGGGATAAGTTTCATTACAGTGATTGTTTTAACAA